TTTTTTTTTTTTTTTTTTTGGTATAGCACATTTTAAACAGAGTTTTCACAGTAGCTGAATGTGTTCTAAAAATAAATCTAGAAGATCAGCCCTTTTCATTGAGTTTTTTGACAGCCCTGAGCTGTAGTGACATAAAATCACATTTAAATGCCAGCCCTTCATGCAGATCCAAGTGGCATCACCACTCTTCCCTCCCACTTCCCTCATCCTTTCTGTGAAGGACAGCCCTGTGGGGGCACCTGGTCCTACCCAGGCCCAACAGGGGCTGAACCCCTGCTGTCCCAGATGGCCACACAGGCATCCAGAGCTGCTAGTTTCCTGTGGTTTTGGTCCTTAATGAGGGATTTTCCTCAGTTAAGGGTTCCAATGATTGCAGGACCCTCTGGGAAAAGAAAAAAGGCTTTGGGGTATGCTGGATGGTTTTACTTCTGAAGACCTCCAAGCCTCCAGAAGTTCTCCAAGGAAGGCCTCTTGCCACTTGTCCCATACACTGCTGACAGCTTGCCTAAGGGCTGTTCCAGAAGCAGTGGAGTTTGTTATAAACACAGAGCAGCCAATTATTCAGCCGATTCCCTGCAATCAGTGCAAACCATCCTCCCAGGCACCTGCTTTCTGGGCTAGCACTGTCTCATTTGCACAGTATTACAGTGAACATGCCTTGTCCAGACCCCATGGTCAGTTACTGCAAAACAGGAGCAGTTTGTCAGGATTTTCATTTGTCCTGTTTTCTGCCTGCAGCTTGGGCAGGCTCCTCAGCTTCTCTGTCTTGATAATCATTCAGTGAAAATGAAGTAGAGCTTTTGGACTGTTGGTATAAAGATAACTATTATAAAAGTCACCATAAAACTTTATAATATGGAGCACACTAGATGAAAACCTAATCTTAATTTACTGTGCCAAGCAGTAGTGTTTCCTATTTCCCATGTGCTGTTGATGTGTAACCTTGGTCACTCCTCTGAAATATGAAGGTGCTCATGGGGCCCATTTGATAAATTTACTTTGGGATTTCTTTGGAGCAGGGGGCAGAGGCGGGTGGGACATCTTGGGCCTCTGAGCCTACCCTTTACCCAAGCAAAAAAGGGCTTCTTTTAAACTGATGACTCCTTCCAGCGGCCCAAGGATGGATCTGATAACTGGAAATAGCAAAACCCGAGGAACCCATGCCAGTGCTGGGGAGTGTTTCATTGCGTTTGTGGACCATCTTGTTAAAGCTCTTGCCATTATTCCTCCCATCTCTCCTTCCCTCATACTTCATATTTTGGCCATAGGCTAATCTCCTTGAGCCCTCAACCTTGGAGTTCAAGCTCATTCAAATAGACACTGAGATGGATTTTTTTCTGCATTTGGTTCAGTTCCTCTTTGACTTGTATTTCCCCCAAATGTTTAGTACACAGCATTGTGATTGTTTTCTCTCCCAGGGCACTACAACCTGGAAGTAGCAGTAGGTACTCTTCCCTGGCTCTTAGGTCTTGGGGACGTGGCTTTGGCCATCCCTTGCTAACCTGGCTTAATGGTACCCTCTGGAAGTAGCTCCTAGAACACTGTGGCTGGAGAAACCAGTAAAAACTGGAAGAACAGGCACAGTGTCTCTGCTGGTGGTGGCTGACCCCCATGTTTGTACCTACACATATTTGGCTTGTTGCTTCCGGAAGCTTCTTTATTGCACCCACCTGGAGATGTATCTGCTGATAAAACTGCAGGAGCATTGCCAGAAGAAAACAGAATGGGTGAATTATGAGAAGTAACTGCTTTCTCTTTTAGGATGACTCTATTTTAAGAAATAAATTCAAAATATGAGAAGAAAAGTGCCATATTTGCTCTAAAAACTCTCTGTAGATTACCCAATTTAGGACATTTTAGTGGTCGTCCAGCAATTTAGACTTTTTCCTATGACCTGCCTGTGATCAACGAGCCAGACCTTAGCATATCGCCATGCATAGCCCCATTATATGTCAGAACGCTCACCTCCCACCCCAAAAATAACCTTCAGAATCTGCTTTAGCTGAAGAAAAAAGGTAACTCCTAGTTTTTGTATCTACTGTGTGCCTCATGCATTTTTAAAAAACTGATACCACTTTATGAAGGCATCACAACTTGGGAAGAGATGGTATTTTCATCATGAATAGGTGAGGAAACAGGCCAGAGGGGTTGAGTTTATTGCTTGCAGTTGGAATTCCAGTCCACACCTGTCTGACTCCAAAACTCTGCTCCCCACCAGTTATGAGGTGGGTCCATGAGCTTTTTCTGAACGGGCCAGACAGTAAACATATAGACTTTATGGGCCAAACAATCTCTGTGGCAACTGTTCAACCTTCTGCCCTTGCAGCATGAAGGCAACCTTAAACGGCGCTAAAGGAAGGAGTCTGACTGTGTCTTAGAAAAACAGAAACTTTATTTACAAAACTGGAGTTGAAGCACAGGATTCCGGACAGCAGTGACGCCTTTTTAAAAGGCCACAGATTTGTATCTTGTTTATAAACTATGTGAATATGCAAACTTTAAAAAAAAAAGTATGTTGTTTATCTCACTAGAAGCTTCTCTTCTAGGAAAAAGAGGCAGGACGTCTTTATATACAAAACAGATAAAGTGGGAAAGCTTGCTGTTTAAACTGTAAGAATTTCATAGCCATTTGTGAACAGTTTGTTAGAGGGTTGGGCATAAAAAGAAGTTTAAGATTTAGTACCAACTGAAAAGTAAAAACGATGACAGTGAATCTTTGAAATCATCAGAGCATGATCTGATTTGTCGATGAAAATTTCATGCACGGTTATTCGAGAGCTCTGTGTATGAAGATTCATATGATTTTGTGATTATAATCCTTAAACAGCAATAAGGTGGATAAGGGTCACCGGCTTCTTGTCACTTCTAATTGTTATGTGTACAGACAGAGTCGATACCTCCCTTTCAACAAGGTGGTTCTTTGACTGCAGCTCAGTCTCTTTCTATAAGCTGATCGTGCAGGTGGCAGTGTTCCTGCCTCCGAGTCCGATCCAATATTGTTTATTGTTTATTTTCTTCCCTTGGTGGAGAGTATCAGCCCATTGTAGAGAGAGAACTTTAAACAATTTTCAAATGGTGACTTCGGGTCTACTCCCCTCCCCCCCCTTTTCATAAGAAATTTTGTTTCAAAGTAAACTCAAGTTTGTTTGTTGTTGCCTGGCATGCATTTCCTTGCTGTGGTTCCTCCTTGGTCAGTTAACATTCTGAGGCTGAAATGAACCCTCACATTCCTTGTTCGAAATGTTCCGTTTCTTGAGTCACGTTAATTCTGATGGGTGGCAGGAGGCGACGTGGAGCTTCTCCTCTGTGAGACTCACTGCCTGGGCCTGCTCTCTGGGCGCGGAGCCAGAGCCTGGAGGGGTCTGTGCGTGAGAAGCAGCAGGTGCCCCAGTCGCATGGCACGGCCGTGGGCAGAGAAGAGTGTCTGTCCCCACCTCGCAGCTTCACTTACTACACACTGGGGCTGGGTGTCTTTGAACAAGGGAATACTTTTTGGCCTTTGGGGAGAAAAAGTAATTCCAAAGTGGCTTTTTCAGCTTGCTCACATGTGCCTTGGGGTGGGAACTCCGGTGCTGGGGGCCCTCTTTCCAGGATCCCAGCCACTCTTACCTGTGATGGGGAAAGGGGGCAGGGGCAGGATGGCCCGCTGAGTTTGGGGTGCAGATCGCCCACTAAGCACGCCCCCAGACCTCCAGAAACTGGTAGGAGTTTTAATCAGATGAAATTTCGTGCTGCATTGCCTCACCCAAAGTTTTAAAAATAATTTTATGTGAAAATTTTAAACTAAAACAACAGAGAGAACTTTAATAGCGTTTTCAATTCACATCACTATTTTTTACAGAACCGTTTTGCCCGCTTTTTTTTAGCCTCGATCGTATAGCTCTTTTCAGTAATGAATTTGCACAGCGATGCAGTGCTTAGCCTCGCGGTGATGTGCTCTTTGTCCTTCCGGCAGCTCCGTGCTCGGCTATGACCTACCATCACGACAGCAGACGGATATTTGTGGGCCAGGATAACGGAGCCATCATGGTAGGTACCTTCCAACATCGTGAACGTCTTCATGATGTTGACCTCCCCATGTTCATGTCTGTTGGGCATTTTAAATAACGTTAACAATGAATGCCTGATGGCATAAACAATGTTGAATTCAATGTAGGTATTAGACCTAAAATGGATTCATTTCAGAGCAGTTCCATGGAAAGTTTTTGGGCCACTAATTTAGTCTCTTCACTTGTTATAGATTTTCTGTTCTTCTGTTTGCATTTGTTGTTTGTGTCTTTTCTGGCCAAGAAGGGAAGAGCCAGAACCGAGACAGGCCCTCGGCCCAAACAGTTCACTCAGGGCTGGGGGCTTCAGGTCGGGGGTTGTTGAGCTTGATGCCCATGAGCTTGGGGCTGCTGGAAGTACATTCTGCAGCAGTAAATGCCAACGTTCTCACGCTTCCCTTTCTGGAAGTTTCATAGGAATGTCGTGGTGATGTGCATATACAAGTACAGCAAGGAGCCAGGGACTGCACGCCTCAAGTCGTTTCTCCGAGGTGGCAGTGGTTCAGCATTTACTTTCTCAGGGACCCTTCTTGTGGCTCCTGGTTCCAGGTCATAAGGAGCAGGATGGCCTCTAGCAGCTCTCGCGGCTCTTAGTGGAAAGGGCAGTGCACATCCAGTCCGTCATTAGCTAGCTATTGATTGTTGATCTCTCATCCAGTTCAGATTCGTGTCTTTAAAATGTGAATACGTGCTTGTAGTTTGCAAAACCAAGGCCGAGAACAAGGAATTAGTATTCCCTTTTTTTTTGTTTTTTAATCGGTTTGAGCAGTCAACAGTTTATAAAGTCCATGGATCCTAGAACCTTAAGTACTCCTCACTTTAGCATTGGTCAGTATAATTTTTTATTAGACCTTTTTTTAGAGTATTATCTTCTTGGTTTTATGTTGAAGCTCATTTTCTCATTAAGCATATACTCCTAATTTCTTCCCAGTTACAAAGTATTACATAGCCTATAAGTATTTGGAAAATACAAGAGTATAAAAAAAAGAAGAAAACCACCCACAACCTCTTAATTTCCTTTTTTTGTGTGTTTGTATATTAAATATGTATAATTTCCCCCTTACATTGCTTGAAATACACTATGTTTTATTTTCACTGGAGCTGAGATCTTTGTTAGTAATGGGTCCTTGCAATTTTGCTTTATATATCATCTTGAGGAATTTTTGGTATAACGAAGAAAGAAAAATTAACAAGATGCCTCCTTTGCCATTAGAGGGAGAGGGAATTCACAGTTCTCACTTGTGGAAGGAGAACTGGACAAAAATGCTGAGCTGGTCAGCGGAACTTTCTTTGTTCAGTCTGGTCCCAGAAACAAAGGATGGCCCGAGGACAGGTCTGGTGAAAGGTGCAATTTCGCATTCTTGTTAGATAGCCCATCTCAGTCCCAGGTCTGGTGATAGCTAACTTTGGATTTCACTTTGTTTCGAAGGTTAAGTTCCTGTTGTTTTTAAAACCATAGCTGTTTTCTTATTGCATGTGCTTCCTTTTAGGAATTTCATGTTTCTGAAGATTTTAATAAAATGAACTTTATCAGGACCTACCCAGGTAATTATAATACACACACACACACACACACACACACACACGCATACATAATACACGTAGATCTACACACACAAAACTAGGACACCATCTCTTATGGTCCAAATTAGGTTTTCACATTCACTTTTTAGTTTTGTTACTTCAATTATGTGAGAGGCTGTTAGCTCTTTAGAGCTATTTACCATCATTTCCTGCTCATTAACATTTAAAATGTTGTATACTGTGCCATGTGGCTGCATGTACCAGGTGTAATTTAATCATTCCTCTATTTCTGAACATGAGTAATGCTTCCATTTTTTGATAATACCCACTCACTAACATATATGATAGTGTGTACGTATTTTTGTGTGTGTATATATATCTGTGAGTGTGTATATTTCGTGTATCTGTATATACAAGAGAGAGAGAGTGTGTGTGTGTGTATCCTTGACTGTTACTCTGACCCTAATTACTTCTATTTAAGACAAATTCATAAAAGTAAAGTAACTGGTCAAACATTAAAAAGTTTTTTAATGCTCTAGATTTATTTGCAAACCTTTCCCAGCAGTTGCAAATTTTGCAGTCCTATGAGTGGTGGTGGAGAGGGCCTGCTCTTTAAATCTTTACATTACTCTTTATAAATGCTGTTTGCCATTTTGATAGTCAAAATAGTTCTCAAGTTAAAAATTATTTAAGCTGATTTAATGTTAGCCCTTTGTCATCTTCCGTGAATGTCTGCTCATGCTTTCGCCCATATTCCCAGGGAGGAGTTGTGTTTTCTAATTAATCTGTAAGACAGAATTCCTCAGTTCTTCTGAAGCAGCCTGTACAGCTGATACCAAGGTTAGAGGGTTCTCTGTGTAGCCTCTGACTTCATTCATCAGACTGGTCACTTACTAAACACCTGCTGCATGCAAGGTGCTGTACCAGATGAAGTAGACAGGTCACTGCCCCAGTGTGGCTTATAATTAACGTGGAAACACGGATATTCCAGGAGTCGGGTCATAGACAGAACACTCGCCTCACTCTCAGCTACTATTTTGGAATACAGACCTTCACAACACTTTGTCTTTATAAATAATAAAAAGTTACACACAAATCGCTTACACTACTTTTTAATGACAGAAAATTATAGTTGCTCTTGTTTGCAATGCCAGTGTTTTCTAAAGGGTCAAAACACTGAAGTTTTAGACAGTAAAAAAATAGTCTTTTCTAAGAAAAGACTGCTGCTTTCCATGTGGAACTCATTGGTAGGTAGGGTTTTTTAGAGCAAAGTAAGAATCTATTCCCTAGTCTATTACTGGAATCCCTCCTGAACATTGTCATTTAATGATGTGTAGCTTCTGACTGTCTGCTGCGCCGGGAGGCAGAGGTAGGGCCTGGGAAGCCCGGGAGAGGGAGTCGGGTGGGGCAGATTATCCAACACCCGCTCACGGCCAAGCGTTCCCATGGTGGGGTGCTGTGCATCCCCAGGCCAGCCTGGCTGAGAAGTCAGCCTCAGCTTTCGCCCCACGAGACTCGATTCTGAAGGTCACACGTCTTCCTGAAGGGCACAGACCTTTTCTTTCTGTTCCTACAGCTCATCAGAACCGGGTATCCGCAGTCATCTTCAGCCTGGCCACGGAGTGGGTGGTCAGCACCGGTCACGACAAGTGCGTCAGCTGGATGTGCACCCAGAATGGGGACATGCTTGGGAGGCACGTCTTCACGTCCTGGGCTTCGTGTTTGCAGTATCCTTCGAAGGGCTGGGCCCTCAGGCCTGCTCTGGGCTCCTTGTCTCAGTAATTAGTGTTGAATCTGATTATAAATTGGTAATTGACAAAAACACCCAAAAAATAGAATGAAAAAGAAATCAAAAACAAAAAAATGGGAAAAAACTAAAAAGAAAATAAAAAGAAAAAAGAAAAGATACCAGAAAAATATACAAAAAGGAAAGAAAGAAAACAAAGAACAGATTGTTAATTGAGATCCAAAGACTGAATGATTCCCGATATTTCATGTAAAGGCTAAGAATTGCTGTGTCTACCTTTCTTGGTATAAAGCTGGTTTATTAAAAATAATTATTAAATGACTTGTTCCCTGCTGGGAAGTGCTGTACGTTTTTAATACAAAGTCTGGGAAACCTAACCCTCATTAATGCAGACCTCCCCCTTCATTCCTTTACATTTCAGAGTGAAAGAAAAGAATTTTTATATAAAGAAAGAAAAAAAAAGGAACTCATTTTCTAGTAATCGGTTGTTTGCAGACCCTGCAGTAGAATATAGAATATAAATATAATAAGGCTTGTGGCCCCGAGTTCATAAATGGGCTACGAGTTTTACAGTTGTGTGTGTGTGTGTGTGTGTAGAGAGGGTTCATAATTCTTATAATACTCTCAAATGTGCCTCAGCATCCCCGAGATGTTAAGAAATTGCCACTTTGAAATTTGTTTACTGGTAAATGGAATCTTTTTCACGAGGAGTCGCCGTTGCTCACGGCCAGCTGTGCAGCTGTGCGTCTTGGTGACAGCACAGTCGAGGCTGCCAGCAGCAGGCCCTGCCCCACGGCGGTGCTCTCGGAGCTGGACACCTGGCATAGTAAAACCCTTTTTCCCCCATTGAGAGCCTTCATGAAAAGTGCTTGCTACAAATGAATGTACAGCATGAGATATTTAAAATAAGCATTAACAATAGTATCATGCTCTTTAGAATTAAGCAAGGGAAAACACTCAGATATGTTTTGTGCTAAGTAAGCGTTTCTGTTCTGAGTTGGGCTTTTCATGGGCATTGGTAGAAAATGGCCCAGTGACACGGTCAGGGCCAGGCCCACGCTGCTTCTCCTGACCTTAAAATAGTAGTTACCCTACTGTGTGTGAACGACCGGTTTGTAACATCACCGAGAAAGTGATGAGTTAATATATTTCTAAAATTTAAATTTACTACTGTCCCAAATAACTGCCTTTTGGTTGATTGAACTCAACACCGCAATTTAAAGGGAACCATACTCTGCTTCAAGCTAAATCTAGGCCAAAGGAAAGATGGATTCATGTCCGCATTGGCTGTCGGTTTTACATTATTTCTGGAGATATTCCATAAACAGCCATGTTCTTCCAGTTCTTTCTTGCTTTTTTTCATTATTGAGTGTTGTACTTTTTTTGTATTTTATTATAGTTTGATTATGACTGCCTCTCATGTCAGCTGTTACCTTTTTTATTGCCAAGTTCTAGGATATTGGTTAGAGTAGTGACAGGTGCTCAGTGAATTCTTGTTGAATGATTGAATATTAGTTTTCCCCATGATTCCAGGCTAACACTTTTTCCTTCAGTTTTTACATATTGCATGATTTCCAGTCGGGCGTTTCCTTTCTCAGAATTCTGGGCTTGTGCTGACTCTCTTTAAAGTTCCCGTTTTCTGCTTTGCGACTTTGAGGTGGACTGTGGTAGAGATCCTTGACCGCGTCCCCACAGGTACGACTTCGACACTCACTATGCCTTTGTTGGCGATTATTCTGGGCAGATCACCCTGCTGAAGCTGGAGCAGAACACCTGCTCGGTCATCACAACCCTCAAAGGACATGAAGGTAGGTTGTCACCCACAGGTTTTCCACCTGAGTCGGGCATCCGAACTTAGTTCTCAGCTCTGTGGTTTCATGAATGATCGGCTCCCTGTGACTTGTCAGATTTCAGTTTGATTGGCCAAACGGGATTTAGATCTCAGAGGGAAAGCTAAGTGAAGGTGGGTGCCAAGCTGGGTTTTGTATTGTCAGAATCCCTTCTAGATCGCCTGTGTGGATTGTACTTCTACTTTGTTTACTTTTTTCAATGAAAGTACTTTCAGAAGACCTTTTACATTTCTTATAAATGGTAAAACCTTTGCAAGAATGCTGCTGTTATTTTTAATTTGTCCGTTTCCAGGACCTACCTAGTAGATCAATACAATTAAAAGAAATGTATGGGCTGGGTCAGCTCTACTTGGGAAACCTCCCTGGGTAGGGATTGAGGGAAAAGAGTGGTCTGGTGGAATTGCATTGTTTCTACCGTGCAGCGAGGCTCCAGGAAAGGGTTTTAAAACTCAGCTGGCTGCATTGGGTAACAAATTAGAAGCTCTGAGGCCATCTGATTTAGATTGAGGGGGTTTTGTTGAAAGAATTAATGATGGACTTTTACCAAAACTATCTTAATCTAGCAAGTTAAATGTCCTCCATGCTGCCTAACTATTCTACTGAGGTGAAATCAAGTCTGTGGGACAGGAACCTAGCAGAGGAAAAAGGAGAGAGATCAGTGAGTTAGAATAGATGTGGACAGGAAAGCCAGCCCCTGAGGACACCACTTTCCGTTTATGACTCATAGTCTTGTGACTGCGGGCTCGTAAGCGTTCTCTGGTTGCAGGGATAGAGTGGGTTCTGGTAACTGCTCATTCGTGTTTGTATATCATACAGAAAGATCATGTTTATCTGCTATTGGCCCTGTAGCTGAAGGGTGTGGGGCATAGGTTCAGACAGGGTCAGGATTCACACAAAATTATCCTGAAGCTGGTTTTACATAATATTTTCTTTCCCCACTTCTGTTAAGTTTCGGTGAGAAACCAGTTGTGTTGTTTGCTTTTGAATATGGCTTCGTTCATTTTCTATATACCCACCGAAAATACTAGCTCGTATGACCGGTTCAGTTTTATTAAGCTTTCTATTCATTTTCTTCTAGGCAAGCAGTAGTCCATGGACTAATGATGAGATCTGTTGAAAGATACATCTGTAGAAAGAAAGATTTTCCCAAGGGTGTCTAATTGGATAAGTTTAGCCAGTGCAGAGTGTGAAATGTGAAGCTTGGATGTTTTATCTAAATTCCCCGGCGTAATTGTGTGGTATACCTGCAGGCCTTTCCTCTGAGACCCTGAATTTTCTCAGACTCGGGCGTCTTGGGGTAAAACCACCTGCAAGGCCCCAGAGGCCTGCAGTAGTCTAGATTGCTGTCTTATATAAGGTGACCCAGTAAAGCTAACTGCCTCTTCTCATTAAATATCAATAGTTAATTTTTTCTAAAGCTATTTCTGAAGTAACCCTTCATATCCAGCTGTTTTAGAATTTTGTGGTCCAGAACAAGGGGCCATTTATTTGAGCATCTTTGCCCTTTCGTGCATCTTTGATGTACAACTGAAGGTTTTAGTCTTACGACTCGAGAGAGTGGATGTGCTGTGTCTTCTCATGACTCGTGATGACATGTTGAATGGCCCTTTGTACAGTGAAGATACATATTTCCTGAAAGACTCAGCTGTGCTAGTTGGGTCTTCAGTTGTCAGATATGCGTGTCCTGACATGGAGTTGTGTTTAACCAATCCTGTGTCTCTCCCTCCTTCCCTCACCCCCAGGTGGTGTCTCCTGCCTCTGGTGGGACCCCATTCAGCGGTTGCTCTTCTCGGGAGCGTCTGACAACAGCATCATCATGTGGGACATCGGCGGAAGGAAGGGCCGCACACTCCTGCTGCAGGGCCACCAGTGCGTGGCTGTCCTGGGGGTGGGGAGAGAATCCAAGTTTGAGGAAGGCAGGGGAAACATTAGTATTTCGAAGACAGCCATTTGCTAGGGCTCACTGAGTCCACTTGTAGCTGCTTTTCTGTTAGTCCTGAGTGTCTGGCATTCTGTAGCCAAAAGGAAAAAAGAGGGCCCAGGGTTTTCTTCCTTCTTAGTCCACAGGGCGCTCCCCACGTTTCTGTCCCGGGGAGGCACCCTGTTGAAACTGCCTGCTAAGGCTGGGGAGCTCTGGCGAGGACCCTGACCGGGAAGGTTGTGTGTGATGTGATGCTAAGCCATCCTCGAACTGGACACCTAACTCGCTTTCTTAAGTTCTAGAATGTGTTTCAGTAAGAAGGAAAGTACTGTTTCACGCGGTCGCGTTGCCTGAGCTACAGCGTAACACTCCGGCTCTTGCCGTCTAGTCTTGGAAAGGAAAAGGAGCCCTTTCCCCGTTGGCCAGGCCGCCGCTCTTTACCATGACGAAAGGCGGCCAAGGAACATTCCCCACACAGGCCTGCAGCCCGGGAGGCTGGGCCCCAGGGCATCCGGGGCGTGTGCACATGTGAGCGCCCGTGTGCCCGCGTGCGCGTGTGTACCTGAATCTGCGTAGGGTGCGATCACTGTCCTCATGGCTGTGGTCCAGTGAGGGAGTCACAGCTCCTTCTTCGCCTCTGACTTGAAAGTCACGTTTGTTTTGTAGAGACTGTTACTCCGTACAGCAAGCTGTCGAATGGCAGGTGGCTGGCACTAGAACCCGTATTGTCACCAGAGAGGCAGTGGTGGACCGGCCAAGGCTGACTAGCGGGGGGAGGCGCCTCCACGAGGAGGTTTGTACACACTGACACGTGCTGTGTGTCCGCAGTGACCGGGTGCAGTCGCTGTGCTACCTTCAGCTCACGAGGCAGCTCGTGTCCTGTTCCTCGGATGGTGGGATTGCCGTGTGGAACATGGACGTGAGCAGAGAGGAGGTAAGAGAAGGGCAGGCGAGGCCGATGGAGGGGGTCCCCAAGATCCTGCCTCCACGGTGCCCCACGCTGCCGGCCCGGAGTGCGCGCCGTGGGGACAGCACCGTGCATCACTGCGCTGCATCCCTGCTCGTCTGAGTCTCCGCAGCAGCAGGCGGTGCACGCAGACCGAGCGTCCACTAGTAGTGTCCGCTGGGGGGACACTGCGAGAGACAGCGTCCCGCACGCAGGGAGCAGCTGCCCTGTGCGGTCCCACGGTGCGCCTGTTTCAGAAACTGAGGCGACTGCACCAGGGGCGAAGCTGGGCGCCTCGCGTTTTCCTGGGAAAATCTCTCTCTGTTGTCTGCTTTCATTCCCCGCTGAGTTCTGTTCCACTGAGCCCATGTTGACACTGTTCTTTTCGGGGGGCCTGAGTTCTGACTAGTTTAGGCCGCTAACTAGTTGGGAGGCCTTGCTTAGAAAGTGCCGTAACTTCCCTGCGTCTTTGTTCCTCTTCCATAAAGGGAAACAGTCGAGTGAGGTGGCTCCTAAGGCCTTTCAGTTCTTTAGACAGACACTCTAATTGTCCAAACAGTCTGTCTTCTTTTCTGTTTTAAATAATGTGCAGTGAATATTCTTCACCCTGTCATTGTGTGTGTTCAGTTATTTATTGTAGATGAATTTGTGAAGACAGACCTTTTGGGCCGAGGATATGTCCGTTCCTAAGGCTCTTGATAGGTATTGTCCGATGACGCCCAGGCAGGATTTCCCGTCTCGGCTCTGCGAGCGTGGGCATCCCCGCCTCTGCCACGTGCTGTCCCCAGCCTGCGGTGTGGAGAGCGAGAGAGCCGAGTCCCGAGAGGGCTCAAGAGTAAGAGGACTTGACAGCAGAACCATTCCTGAGCCTGCCGTGGACTAGGGAGTGGCCGCAGAGGCTGGAAACCTAGCGGACGTGCGCCGTGACGGTCTGTCGGTGCTGCAGTGCGGTGCGGGCCATGCCTCCTGAGCCGCCCCGCTGGCCCAGGGTGCTGTGCACTGTCGCGGCAGACGCGGGCGGATGCAGAATCCCCACCCCCGCAGGCACCTCTGCTTTGTGTTCCCCGTGCCTGCCTGTGAGTCTGACCCTCGCTGATAACCCTGCGTCTGCATCTTTAGCATGTCCACAAAGACAAAGTGAAGGAAGTTCAAGCTATTAAAAAAAGTAGTGCTGTTACTCACTTCCTGACTTTATGGTTCCCAAGTTCTGTACACAAAGATCCCTGCCTGGAAGAAGCTTGTAATCTAGTGGTGGGAATAAATACCCTATAAATAGTAAAGGGCAGCCCATGGTACGGACAGGTAATGACTGCTAGTTTTCTAGTGACCTTGTAATACCAAGTAGAGGAAATCTTGATCATGTGTCTACTGGTTAATTTCTTTTTTGAATTTTCTGAAAATCTTTTGGTAGGGCTTAGAGTAGCTTGTTAGGAAACATACGTAACATTGGTTAATGTTAGAGAGTAAGTCAGACTTTCTCTGCAAAGATTTATTGAACTGTGTTTTATATTTATCAACTGCTTCATCTCTGAGCCACTGTTTCTTTGCCTGTAGAATGGGCATAATGTTGTGCGCTCTCTCTTAGGCCTATGATGCAAATTAAGTGAAATAGGCATGTAAAGTGCTTGGCACACTGCCTGGACTCACATGACGCTTGCTGTGTACCAGGCACTGTGTGGGGGAAAGAAATGTCCATAAAGAATAGCAGTAGAGAGTTCCCTGCTGGAATGAGGTCTGTGGGCCAGCTGTGTGGGGGCACAGGCGGGGGCACCCACTGGGAGAGCTGGGAAGGGGGCTGGAAAGTCTGTCGGGCCTGGTGCCCACCCAGAGGAACTCCCGTTAGTCACCGTTCAGATCCGCAAGCTGCCCCAAGTGGCCCTTTGCCAGTTTCTGCAAGAAATGGGTTTTGCTCAGCTGGTGAAGATTTCCAACAAGTTTGGCATAAAAGAAGAGATATACAAAGACAACGCTAAGAGTGCACAGTGAGAATTGAATTGTTTCCTCATATCTATAGATCGAAAATTGAACAATCCTGTAAACATTACTAAAACGATCAAGATTACCCAGCACACACACACAGTATCGATATGGCAATAGCTGTAATATAGTGAGGGATTTTTTTAAAATGCTGACCTCAACCATGTCCAGAACTGTCGTGAGAATTTCTGAAAAGCCAGTGTAAACATGCAGCCGGGCTGACGTTGACTGTGTCTGTCTCCTCTAGGCTCCTCAGTGGCTAGAAAGTGATTCTTGCCAGAAATGTGAGCAGCCCTTTTTCTGGAACATCAAGCAGATGTGGGACACAAAGACACTGGGGTTGAGACAGGTGCGTAGCCAGCATCGAGTCACCACCGGGTTAACCATGTATTCTCTCGTTTGTGTAATTAACCTCATTTTTTTTGGAATCACACTTTTCCCTATAAGTGCTGTTAATTCATTCTTTTTTGATGTCACCATCCTTGCCTGGTAATAATGAGCCCGCAAGACCATTACCTAACTGTCGCACTGGGTGTCCTGCACTGGACGAGCAGGGATACATGGAAAACCCAGAGCCTGTTTGTAAACAGATACAGACTTTCACTTTGGGACTGTTGTTAAAGTCACTGTTTCCTAGTCACTGAGCACCAACAAGCCTCATGCTTTTACAGACAAAAAGTAACAATTCAGCCCTCCCTGGAATACTGTGACACTAATAATTTTAGATTAATCCCAAGTTCCACATAAATCAACCTGGAATATTTTTTATTAGGTATGTTTCAGGTACTACTTTTTATTTTTTAAATTAAAGAAACATGTCCCAAGTGGCCTGTAGGTTTCAAAGATGCTCTTATCGCTAGGCATTTACGTAAGACTAAAGTTCTACAAAAAATAAATATATTTCAACAGCAGACTTGAAGGCAGCCTCTCACTCAGTTTTAATATGAATATGTGCAAGTAAATAACCAAAAGAATGCTGGTCTTATCCACCTTGTTACTGCTTCTGCCGCTGTGAAGGGCTGGCTTAGAGTTTGTGTGGTAATAAGCTTCCTTTGATTTTACTTACATTTTGTAGTGTTCTCGAAGCTTATTTCCAGAGTCACAATTTGAAAGATTAAAAGAAACAGAAAAACATCTGATTATGGATGCTGATTTCTTAATGAGGGCATGTTACATTTAAAACCTTATTTCCTAGCTTTCCTTTGACACAGGAATAGATTTTCCTTCTCTAAATCTCTGGTCATTTGGGCTCCTAAGTGAACTTCAACTTGGTTTTAATGTTTGTCGACATCATGACAATACGAATGAACAAAAAGCAGTATTTGACCGATACAGTAAGGTTTTTTGGAAATCCTTGTCAAATACTGAGATTGGCTACCTTTTGCGCTTTAATTGCTACATGAACTTGGGATGATTATAATTCAAGGCACGTCTTCCCCACTCCCGTCCATTCCCCTGCTCTGGAGGGAAACCCCGGGCGTTGCAGCGAACGTTAAACTCTCTTTCCTCCTTCCCCGGGCCCTGAAGCACCACTGCAGGAAATGCGGCCAGGCCGTCTGCGGGAAGTGCAGCAGCAAGCGCTCAAGCTACCCCGTCATGGGCTTCGAGTTCCAGGTCCGCATGTGTGACTCCTGCTACGAGTCCATCAGAGAGGAGGAGTGAGTGTCTGCGTGTCTCTGTCTCACTGTGCGTCTGAGCTGGGGAGTGACATGGGGGTACTTCTGCCCACCTGTTTGCATCTCCCCAGTTTCATAAACGATTTCCAGAGAGAGGATCCCATGCTAGCTTTACGACATAGGACAGATTTCCCCCAAACACCGTGAGGAATGATGTTGCTAGGACCAGCCCAGCCATCGAGTGAACATTCTTGGGCCCCTGTGTCACGCAGGGTGCTGTGCGGATCCAGGCCCTGTGCACACCGATTCAGTAGCTGAGCTGGTTCTCTTCAAAAGCATCTGAAGCTCTTAACCTGTGCTCACATGTGCACAGGAATTTAATTACTGGGAAAACTCTAGAGACCAATGTTTTTCCCACCAAGATCTGACCTAGCAGTCTGTTCTTAAATGACTGTTTGTGTTAAGACATTTCTCTCTGTCCCCCATTTGGTCCTGACTCAGGCAGATCCGCTAAGGCAGAACCATCATTTTCTTTCCCTTGCCTTTGCATCGTCTTTGAAAGCAGCAGATGGGCAAACGTTGGCAGAGGCCCAAGTTGGAAAGCTAGTGGGCACCGCTGGTGTGGGTCGGTGAGCTCATGGTGGAGGCTGGGCTGTGGGCTTCAGGGCAGAGCGCTGCTCCCTGGGCGCCAGAGAGGGCTGGGAGCCTGCCGCCTTCTCGTGAGCGTGGCCCATACTGTGTGATCTCATGCGAGGCAGTTTCTCTTCTGCACGAAAGGTTCTTGTTTTTATGTCTAGGAATATGTGACCTTTCCACTAAAAAAACAAAAAAACAATTTGGGGAACTTTATAAATCTTTTCTAAAACAGTCTTACAGCTTATCATGCTTTCTCACCCTTCAATTATAAAGTTAGTTTTCCAAACTGTAGCCATGTTTTTTGGGAGGAAATTTTAACACTATTATTATAAGTATATTTGACCCTTGAACAACGTGGGGGTTTGGGGTGCTGAACCCCTGGCAATTGAAAATCCACAAATAACTTTTGACTCCCCCAGAACCTAACTACTCATAGCCTACCATTGACCAGAAGCCTTACTAATAACATAAATGGTTGTTTAACACATATTTTGCACATTGTAAGTATTATATATTGTATTCTTACAGTAAAGTAAGCTAGAGCAAAGAAAATGCTATTAAGAAAATTATAGGTAAGAGAAAATACATTTATAGTACTGTACGTGTTTATTGAAAAAATGTGCATATTAGTGGACCCGCGTAGTCACACGTGTTGTTCTGGGGCAACTGTATTACCATTATGTTGCTAAGAAGATGTTTCCCTTGGCCCTGGGTACAGTCAGTGAGTTCTAATCAGTCTCCTTTCTCTGTTAGTCGGACTTCTCTAGCAACCTTCCATGAAGGAAAACATAACATCTCCCACATGTCCATGGATGTTGCCAGGGGACTGATGGTGACCTGTGGGACTGACCGCGTTGTAAAGGTAACCTGCTTAATTGTCCCAATTAGCATCTCAGCTGATCCCTTGGCCAATCCCTTGCTCTAGTCATTCCTTCCAGGCTAATGTTTCTTTCATCCCGGGCAGAAGACTTCTAGTTATAAGAAATAGCCACACTTTTTTTTTTTTTCTTTCATTAATTCCCACTAACACAGAAACTGAAAGTAACTGTCTTATACTTAGTACCACTTTTGAGTTGTGAAACTATGACATACATTACTTCATAATTAAAAAACATGGGCTTTTTCCCATGGACTTTCTTGGAATAAAATTAAATTATAGTAGAACATCCTTACGCCGTCCTTTTCAGGTGTCTAGATCCTGCGTCAGCTTCCCTTACGCTCAGCGTGTCATCACTGCGTGACCCCGAGGCGGCGTGGCAGTGGGAGGAAGTGGGGGAGCGAGGCCTTGGCCCCTCTCCAGCCCCCGCTTTCGTGCCCGCGCTGGCCCTCGGCGGCCCAGGTGACCGGCTGCCTGCGGGCTCTCCTTTCTTGCAGGTGTGGGACATGACGCCCGTGGTGGGCTGCAGCCTGGCGACGGGCTTCTCTCCACACTGACCCGGGAGCTGGCGAGCTCTGCGCTTCCCAGCGGCGGCCGGACCAACGCCGCCCTCCCTGTGGCGCCATGGTCCCCGGCACGTGGACGCACAGTAGCCACTTAAACACAGATCAACACTTTCCAAAAGTAAAAAATGTAAAGGTGTTTTTTGGGGCATTTGTGGACCTACTGTGGGGACAAATGGGGAAAAGTCTCATCTATAGTGGTTCCAGGAGCAATGGAATTCCTCCATCGAAACTTCCTCGCAAACGGTGGGCTGGCGTGGCCGAGATTAATCCAGTCAGTGGGAGTCTTAGAGGAAAACACTGAACTAAAGAGTCAAGGCCTAGAATGTTCCTACAGCAGCCGCGAGCACACACGCTTCCCCTCGACCTGCTGGGCCCCCGGGGCCCCTGGGGCTCGGCTGTGGGAGCGGGAGGGGGTGCCTCGGGGATGCAGGAGGAACTTAGGGTCCCGGAGCGTCCTGCTCCTGCGCGGGCAGGACGTGGCCGTGCTTTCTGGGCCTGACAGACCTGTTCAAGGCTCCGTTCTCTCCGGCGCCGTTGTCTGCACCTAGTGCTTGACTCCCCACGTGTTCCTCCTGCCCGTCAGCAAGCCCTGGGCGATCCTCCTGGTGGCTGTGAGAGGCTTGTGAAATTTCTCTGTTAACCGAGGCGGTCCACGATCTTCCCTCCCCCCACGTGCTCCGAGGACACGTGCCCTTACCACGGGAGTCACACAAGCCGCCTGATTGTCTGTCATTGCAGTTAGTGACGACCGATGGAAAACCCAGCTACCAGCACTCGTGTGGTGGGGAATGATCACTGTTCCCTGGGACAGCCTGCGCAGTCCTCCCAACGGACACATTCTGTTTCTAGATCCAAGAGGAGCCCCCGTGATATTGGAGCAATTCAATATATGCCTCAGACAAGAACTCCAAGGCTTTTTAAACAATGTTGACTTGTAGTTGTAACTAATATTATTAAATATTTCATAGGAGGAAGCTGGGAACCCAGAGCAGTAATGGTTAACCAGGTCCTACACAGTAATTCCCAACTTATACATTGCTTTCCTAACAACTGGCAAAAATCTATTGTATCAAATGGTGTTTGAAAGGGTTTTGGCCAACTTAGTAGTAGGATGGGGTAAGAGGTCGGGGAGGGAAGCCAACTTTTAATATTCAGATATTTATCATTTGTTTTTAACAATAATACATGTATGTTACTTTAGGACTATGGAAGTGAATGGAGAGAGGCCTACTTTTTTTTAAGGGTAAATTTAAAAATAGCAAGTGTTTTTGTTAGTCCTACTGAGGGATATTGGTAGACTCACTACTGTGTTACTGTGTTGGGATCATATCAAGACCACATGTCATTCTGTGTAATACAACTAAGGGACTCAATCTTTTTTTAACAGCAGCTAAGAGGTACCGTAACGGTTGATAGGCAGTAAAACTGAAATGTCTTCATGGCCGAGGGACACAAATACTAAGGGAAGGGAAGGAGCTCAGGCACCTCCTGTTGAACCATCTGCATTGAACGTTGACTTCAGAAATAAGACTGAAGGGTGTGTTTGTCCTTGTAATTTTTGTATTATATCACCTGAAAAAAATGTTTCCTTTAAAAAACTTTTCCTAGGCTTTCTGCACAATGTACATTACTAATACATTCTGGAAGGAAAACAGAGCAGTGTTAACTTTTCCATGGCACGGTTGACGTGGGTTCAGTCGAGGTTCAGCCCACACAAAGGTGCTATCCTGGGGAGTCTGTGAAGTCCGAGAAGGAAAGGCGAACACGACCGATTCCTTCACAATGAAGAGTGCTGAACTGGGGTTTTGTAAAATGTTTTATTCTGTAAAATGTGGTTTTCTAATGTCTGTGTTAGACTGAACAGATCATCTGCCGGAGAATATGCCACAGCTTTCAGATTTCTCTTTATTTTAAAATACTTTGAATGAAGACCTCAGTGCTCCATAGAGACTGTGAGGTGGTGATAGCGCCTTCTAAGGGGTTAAGCTAATTAAATCAAGGAGGAAATGCATATTTCTGGAAGAATTGGAGTGTGGCATCAGAAAAGGAAAGACGATGTTTCCATATAGTTTCTCTCCACCAGAGCCTGTTAACATTTTTCTGTGTGAAAACGTACATGGCAGCCTCGTCTCCTCTGTCACACCCTAAGTAGCAAATGGGGTCATATTTTCTCCAGAGGTGGGAAAAAATTATCTTTTCCATTTTACTCACTGGGCCCAAAAGGAAAGTACAGCTAGGCTTATAGTTCTTGCCTTCCTTTGACTCTGTTACTCTTAAGTGGGTCATTTAAGATAGTTCATCAAGTAACGTTTACCGGTTTCTCCATTCCTGAATACTCGCGCTCATTTGTACAAACAGGAGTACTGAATGTTAGAGAAGATCCTTATGTTTAGCTCTAGAATATAGAGGATAAGAAAATGCCAATTCTTCATTTTAAACATGTTTTTAAATTGCCCTTTATTAGTGCAAGTGACGGAAATGCCCCTATCACATTAGGTGGAAACATCATGCATTTCATTGTATATCTCTGTTCGCCATCCCCTAGTCCAGTCCTGCTCCTAGCAGATCTGAGCAAAACATGTTTCTCTAGACGGTGTCACTGTTTTCTCCCTGTAAAGAGCTCAANGTTTTCTCCCTGTAAAGAATTCAGGTTGTTAGTGTCCACATCTTTAAACTGTTGAAACTGCCCTAAGTATGTAATAAACTCCATAGTGGCTCACACCCAAGGAGCTATTTTCTAAAATCGGTTTTCTTTAAATTACTTTCTACTTCCGTTACTGGATCTGGTGTCCCTTAAAATATAAGAAACCAGTTACTATTAATGACAAAACATCTGCTCATTATAAATGCGAGGTTTAACAAATGAGTAATACATGCTATATTTATTAATTACAAGCAGATTACAAATGCCTACTCTATTTTCTGCAGCTGATTATACAGTGAACTCTTTGAGTAAGTTGAAGTTTAACTGTGCGACACATTTGCATTAGAATATATGATTTAAAGTGTTTTTCTCTGTAGCCTTTTTTGACTGGGGAGGCAGGGCAAGGAGTGTTAGTACATTTTGTCCCTGTACTAGCTGTGTTTCTATAAGATGCTGTGCCCTGCGGCTCCCAGAGAGCTAGAAAACTCTGTCCTTTGNTTTGTCCCTGTACTAGCTGTGTTTCTATAAGATGCTGTGCCCTGCGGCTCCCAGAGAGTTAGAAAACTCTGTCCTTTGCTCCTGTTTGTGGGTTCTGTTTTTGTGGGGGGGGGCGGGGGTTGAGAAAATGTGTACAATAAAATACCCCTTGCTTGTTACTCTGTTGCTTAATTTAGCTCTTGTTACGTTTGTCCTGGACACAGGGCAGTGAGGGCAGCTACCGTGTGTGTAGCGCCCCCTGTGTGCTGCGTGCTGCACCTGTCAACGCCCTTCATTATTGTCCCTGGTTTACAGATGAGAAAACCAAGAAGGTTCTGTCTGTCTGTCTGTCTGACGTGAAAGCACATGCCTTCCTCATACCACCTGCCTTAATGTGCTAGTGCGCAGCGAGTGTGTCACGGGGGGAGGGGGCGGTGGTGTCTCTCTTGGAGTTTGTGAAACCCTGCGGTCAGGTGGCTCAGCATGTCCAGGCTCTGGGTGCACTGAGCTGTGAAGAGACACCAGATCTGTGCCCCGTCCCCCCCCTCACAGCTGTTTTGTCAGTAAACACGGTGGTTCTGACCTAGGAGAAGTGATTCCTTGGCCTAACTGGTAAGAGGTTGGTTTGGAAACCGAATGGCAGTGTACTACGCTATTAAAGAGATGTAGCTTTATTTTCTCTCAACCTCAAAATAATGTTTATTATAATAAAAAGAAAAGCACAATAAAAAGACAATACCAAAAAAATATTTAAAGGATTTTTTAAAAAATCTTTAGTCCTGCTACCCAGAGAAAACAGTTAAACTTATGCTGTGTTTCCTTCCAGTGTCTTTCTAAATGCATGTATACATGTGCAACACAGGCTCATAGGATATATTTTTAATGGGGCCATGCTTTTCCCCCACTTCATACGTTATGGATAGCTTGCCTTGCCAGAAAACAGAGCTCCACTTAGCACCTGTAGCTCTGCACTGTGGCAGGGGACAGTGGCTCTGCTGTGCACTAACTGGGATCACCAGTCTCCCACTCTTTGCGGGTAGGTCAGGCCAGGTGACTTGCTTTAGCCGGTGGAGTACACGCAGAAGCATTTATTGTGGGTGAGAGATTCAGCCACGGCGGTCACGGAAGCACCCGGTGAAGTAGGACACTGACCCATCCCATGGAACCCAGCTTCCCTGGACCTGCAGTGGAATTTGCATCAGGAAAAAATAAATCTTTGTTGTGTTAGTCCACTGAGGTAGGGGTGTGTGTGTGTGTTACCCACAGCATAATCTAGCCTGGACAGCAGTAATGCGTTGTTCGATTATGTGGCTAAACCATCATCAGTTTCACAAATCCCATGTTGAAATTAGATTATATGTTTCTAGGATATTTATAGTTTTAATTAAAACACTACGTAAGAGTACTAAACTCAGCATTCTTGTATGTTCATCTTCGCTCAATTATTTTCTTAGGATAAGTTCTTAGAAGTTGGGATTGCTAGGTCAAAGAATACGCATATTGTGTAAGTTTTTTTAATTCTTACTGCTAATATCTTCACACCATTGCCAACAACTGAATTTGTTCCTTTGAATAGGTGATGAAGAGGCATATTTCAGTGCCTTATTTTATGGAATTCCTGTTTATTAATTTACAATGAGAGTTTTATCTGCCGAGCAGACCCCAGTCAGTTTCTGTAGGACCGTCTAGAGAAAAGCCAAGTCGTCCCTCGAAGGCTGTTTCAAGGAGGCAGAGGAAGAGAGGTGGGCTGGGTGACGCCGAGGCCTGATGTCCCCTCGCCGGGGTGCTTGAGGTCAGCTGGTCTTGTGTCACTTGCGAAGTGGAAACACCCCAGCGGGTTCTCGTTTCTGGCCTTCCCCTTTAGTGCCACCTAGTTGCCACCCGTTTGTGAAGACATCCTGGGCGGGTAAGGCAGGCCCCTGAGTCTCGGCGTCCTTCCCCGCCTCAGCCCGCGGCTCCCTGACCACACGTCGGCCTCTCGCTCAGTCCTCTCGCCACACACGGGGACCGTGTCTTACGAAGCGCATTCATGTTGATCCATGGGTCTCTCGTGAAAGCTGAGCAGCACATGCTGGGACCACCTTCTTGAGTTCAGTCTCATCATTTGAAGTATAGAAATGGAGCCCAAGAGAGAACTTCCCAGGTCAGACCCCAGTGGGAAGCCGAAGATTCAAACTCAGGTCCGTCTGACCTCAAAGCCCATGTTCCTTCTTCTAGTTCCCATCTGGTATCTCCATATTTGAAGAAATTTTGGATCCTGAATTTGACATTCTGGAGAAAGATAAAGTCATAGGAATTTCCTTATATCATTAGCAATGGCAATATGACAGATTTTCCTGCACCCTAGAGTTTAAGATCAAGAGAGGGGCCTTAGAACTCGATTTTGTTTTTTTCCTGGGGTCAGGAACCAGTGGTGGCACTGATAGGTGACTTTTATGGTGATATAACTCCAATCATTTGTTTCCCATGCATTCTAAAGAGCAGTGATCCTTAATCCGTACTTTAGGATACTCTACTATTTTTAAGTCATTTTGGAACTGTTACAAAAATTTTATTAGAAAGTGAATTTTTATCTCAACTAGGTTAATGTTAATGCACAGTAAAGAATATAGAGTCATCCCAAAATCAAGCTAATGAATTTGAAATAACTTAAGAAATCACTCTTCTAAAGTATGGCTGTTATAAATGTCCCTCTCAACAGTAAAGATTTTTTAAAAAATAGGTGTAGATAATCAATTCTGAATAAAATTTTAAAAAAGTATGGCTGTTAAACCTATAACACTCCTAAGAGACTGTTACTTAAAGCTACCTGTGTAACAGGGATTGTCATCTATTCCTATAACATTTAAGAATAGCCAATAGCCTGTAGACTCTACCATGAAAATCAAGCCCAACTACTAGTCACAAAACAGTCACATGATTTTAATATTTCAGAATTACAGGTATCATTCCCTTATTAAATAAGTATAACATTAAGTTTTGATAAGAGAATGGGAAACAACCAGATATCTCAATAGCTGTGAATTCTTTCAGTTAATCCTGTGATGACAAAATTTGCCTGATGGCAGTTTGTTGAATTCACGATACTTTAAGTCACAGAAAGGAAAACTGTATTTGAAC